TGGAGACTCGAAAAAAAACATCATACATTAATGGCAAAAATACATTCATTTGCTCTACGAGATGCATATTTACAACTAATACTATGGTAAATGTCTGATGCATACATTCACAGATATTATTGTAAATATTTCTGAAGACATTGTTTTAAGTTTTGCAAAGATACAGGCTTCGATACAAACGAGTCCATACCGCTTGCAAAACACTCATCTGCACTCTCTGACAATGCATTCGCCGTCATCTGCAAATATACGAATTGAATTTGTTAGAGAATGTCGAGCAACTTTTCTTGAGTGGAAAGCACATGGACAATTCAAAAATGGCTCCAGAAATTTTTGTACTACTTTTCAGTGAGCAATCAAACAGTTAAAGAATAAAGATGAGGACTACAATCTTACCGCTATGATAGGAATCCGCTCTCTGGATTTTCTCGGTTCAACTGAATTCGTTGAAGAATCTAGCAGAGGTAACTGCAACTCGACTCCTGCCTTCACTGCATCATCCCAATTACCAGTTTCCTCAAATGATCGGATCAGCCTTGTAGCTTGAAGACCATCCATTACTGGCATGCATACATCCTGAAAAAGTTTCCCATTTCTAATGACTGTAGAAGCCATAATAATATCAAAAACAGTGCAAAAAGAAATTTCTGATCTGCAGGCTTCTTATATAAATTTTATCGGATTTGGACATGAAAACTAACTTCAGAAATCACACAACTGTTTAGTTCCAAGAGTGCTATATGCTATGTTTATATGATGCTAAAAATTAATTCTTGACCTAGTAACTTCGAGAAACCTTAGTGCATGTTAGGTGGGGAGGATTGGATAGAAAGGCTAAAAGGGATAGTATATAGGTGGAAATCGAAATTAAAATCTTGTTCATTTTATTGTCTGATATTGTCGAGTACTCTCTACCAAACATGCACTTAGTTGATAAGAACAGCCAGTCCATGAACTCTAATCAATAACTATAATCTCTTCAATTCTATTTTACTAATGCAATTAATATGGAACTATAGTTAATATGTGTTCAATTTCTTTTATGCATACCATGAGAACAAGATTGTAGATGTTGCATTGGACTGCACGTACAGCTTCTACTCCATTATTCACGACATCTATGTTGTGGCCCAACTGCTTCATCATTGACTTCGCCACCATCACATTAATCTTGTTATCTTCAACAAGGAGGATCTTAGGTTTTAGCTCAGCTTTTGGGATTTCCGGAATGTTGATGGGAGTACAGTTGAAACTTTTGACGGGCTGATCATGTGTTGGACATGTTACTCGAGAACTAATTGTTTCCAAAGTCTCACCTACCTGATTTCTTGTTCTGAAGGAACTGGTGGAGTGAACATGAGAATGGAAAATATCATTCACTTCACTACGAATCTGTGATGAAGTCCCTGGTTCAGACATCTCCATAACACCAGCTACCGAACGCACATCTTCATCTGAATTGGCTTCTTTATGTGTACTATTACTATAGGGGGATAAGGAGTCTTCTGATGTTCCATTACACTTATGCGAGGCATTACATCCATAACTGTTTGGTGAGAGTTTTGGGTGCCGTCCAGAACCTTGAGAAGAAACTAACGAACCCAAAATACGTGGTTCGAACAAGAAAATTCCTGAATGTAAATCATCATCATTAGAGTCATCCGAAATATCATGGTTGGTCATATCTGAAACTTCATCAGGATCATCTGAACTATCAGAGGCTGGTGAAACCTTGTAAGGTAGTACAAATGTAAAAGTGGAGCCACAATGTTCTTTACTGGATACAGTGAGCTGACCGCCCATGAGTTCAACCTGTTTATATACATAAAAATGTGAGCCAGCTAGGACATGTATTAGTGATATCAGAATATTTTTCTATTGTGTAGTACTGTAGTTCATAAAGAGAATAATTTAAAGGGTTACAGTTTCTTTCAATTGCTATCTATCTTCTTCTTTCTTTTTTCTTTATCCAAAAACCTGTCAGGCTACTATATTCAGCAAAATGTTCAAAAACAATTACACTACTTCCAAAATATTATTTCCCTAAGAAGAAAACAAAATTACTCAAGGACATGTAATCTTGCATAGCTAGAAAAAGCAAGGAGAAGGTTCGTTTCCCCCCCAAGTCCCCCTCCGGGGGAAGAGTCTCGTACATTCAAAGGACCCCCCTTACTCCATTCCTTCCTTCGTAGGGCGACTCTGGCTGCATAGGGGTCACCACTCCCCATCCAGAGCCGCTTCACGCCCTATGCTCATGCCCCATACCCATGGGTCACTCACTGATAGAGGTTTGATCGTGTCAATTTAGATACAAGTTCTTTCTGGAACTTTATGTTTTACCAAAGAGTCGAGTAAATTCATATTATTTTTGAAAACAGTTGTAAATATATTTGAATACAATTTACTTCAAATTATACAAATGAAAAGATTTACATTTTGACGATTAAACCATCAAAGCGTAATTTTGTTAATGACTGCCAGCTATTACACTAACTACATATTATCTATAAATTTCAACAGGCTTATACTTCTCAAATGCTACTTGGTTTTTTTATATAGATACATGGAGCATACAAACATCCAATCAAATAAGACCCTTCAATTGAAGCAACCAGTATATGATTCTCATGGGCATATCACATCAAAATCACATGAAGAGCATGTGATACAATGTGTAGAAGGGTTCACTTCATAACATATAAATGTTAAGGCGGGTGAGAGTTGGGGCACACCTTGTGTGTAGACCTAATGAAACTCCAGTTCACAAGAAGAAATGTGATCCTGGTACGACAGGTTAGAGAAGTGGAACAAAACTAAAACAAGATGACATAATTGCAAAGGATTTGATTTTCTTAGATATTTAGTTAGACATAAGATGGAGAGCAGATAGCAGAGAAAAATTCATGTAGGTTAATCAAAATTATTTGGAACCTTGTTTAGGTTGTCGTTTCTCTTGATGAGCATGTGAGGAAGCATAATTACTTTTCTAATCTTTCTTTCAGCTACTTCGAACAATAATTTAGAATACAATTTAAATTAGAAACTTAGTGCAACGTACAGCAAGATTACCAATTGTTTACAGATTGCTAGTCCTAATCCTGTTCCGCCATACTTTCGAGCTGTATCTGCACCAACTTGCATGTATTTCTTAAATAGATTGGATATAGCATTTTCTGCCATGTCAAGATTGCATGTTAGCGATCAATGTTAGCAAAAGCTCATTAGTTATTTCAAAGGATTTATTTGAGAAAAATGAAGAATTTTAAGTAAATACCTGGTATTCCAATTCCTGTATCATAAACATCACAGCGTATCCACACTATTGTTTCTTCACAGTTGGAGTGACTCTCATGGACTCCTTCTATTGTCAAACATTTATCTTCTTTATTTGTATTGACTGAAACAGGTGATTGATCAGAAGATATATTCTGATCAGTTACTTGTTTGATCGCATCATGTGGCTCTGGTATCACATAAAGCTTTATACCAACCTTGCCTTCATGAGTAAACTTGATTGCATTGCTGGTAAATGAAAATATAGAATCATTTACATATTTAACTGATTTAAGATGATTGTTTCACATCATATGAATTATGATACACCCAATTATATAATAATCACGTACGTTTTTACAAAGACAAATATACCACAGTATCTGCAAAAATAGGCACGTGTTTTTTAGACTCTCTCTCTTCCAGTTACATAATTATGCAAAATATTACTAGTTGACCTTACATGCAGGATTACATCTCTACGCTAAAATGTATGGTGCATCTTCTCAAGAAAAGGTTCAGATATAAGTGTTTTTCCTCTATTCTATCCAGATTGAAAAGCTTTGGGATATCTAGTGCTTGATGGACTCTCTTATGAACGGTACCATCTTAGCAAAAAGAAGTATACAGAAAAGGGAACCTGCAAGTATGAAAAATACAAACTGAACTTGTAAAACCTACATGTACTACAAAAATATTTTGAGCTATGATGTGTTAAGCACCTGATCAGATTTGTGATAATCTGACGAATCCTTAAGACATCTCCAACAACCTGAAATTGAAGCATTGTGTCCATTAAGAAGTGATATGGCTACAGAATCAGTAGGTATTCCCATCCCTCTAAACTCGTACATCTAAAAAGAGCTCTATATTATTGATTGACAATGTAAAGGTCCCTCACCTCCACCGGGACATCATCTGATACATGTCCTTCTAAGGTCAATGATTTTTGTAGTGATGCTGCTGCAGTCTGGAGTACATGCCTTACTACCTCCCTTGGCCTAAACTTTGTAGCTTCCAATTTCATGACTCCTAATCAAAATGAAAGTTTTCGTCAAATTTTGATAGATGATAGATCTTAGTTGGTCAATATATGAGAGATTTGTAAGAAAATTGAATCACTAAAGTACGCATGAAATAGAAACTCGCACTTAATACTTGATCACAAGGAAGAATTTGGCATGAAAAGGTTCGAGGAAACACCTGATTCCACCTTGGAAAGATCGAGGATGTCATTTATCAGTTGAAGAATCATATCGCCAGAAGATAACATTACTTCCAACAGTTGTCTTTGTTCCTTATCCAGTTTGGTGGCAGAAAGGATATCAGCAATACTTAAAACTCCAGATAGGGGAGATCTTATCTCGTGAGACATGGTTGCTAGCATTTGTTTTGCTCGCATTGTTTCCTCTGCAAGAATATTATGGACAAACGAGTGACCATTATTACATATAGGTGATCATGTAGAAAACAATGATGGCTAGGATGCTCGGATGAACCAGTTATATGGATTGTTTTGTAGAGCTCTGTCTCCTTGGCTCTTTGTACAGCCATCTCCTCTCGAAGCTTTATGATTTTCTCCCTTTTCCGGACCTGTAGTATGATTGTGATTGTAATAAGACAAGATATTTTTCATAAAGAAAAGCTAAAATGATGCATTGAAATTGATGCTAACTGTAAGCTACTAACTGAATTTTTAAAAGACAAGCCAGAGAAGCCTAGACTCAAACCTAGAGTAAAACAGAGCACTGAAAACCCAACCGGCCTGAAGATTGTTTAGTTTTAGCCATCAACCATACAGGCTACAGCCGGTAGCAATGTTTGTATAGGTCAATTATATCATCTTGGAGAAACGATTTTTTCTAAACAAGAGATATATACTATCTACCAGAAAATTCTTCCACTAAAATTACCTGATCAGTCACTTCCATCCCCATATAATTGATACCAATAGTCTCCCCTGCCTTGCTGAAAACAGGTTCCACATAAATTAAGAATGTCTTTGCCCCAAATAGTTCGGTCTCAAATGTAATTTCCCTTTTTGCAGGCAATCCTCTTTCTAAAACTTCTCTTTTGAAGTCTTGAGATTCCTTTACACCAGAACCAGTGAAAATCTCCACGTCTGTTTTGCCTATGATATCCTGTCAAATAAAATTATGATAGATACTGAAGAAAGGGCTTGGAAAATCAAACAACAACTATAAGAAAATTGGCCAATTAGAAAGTCAACTGCTCCTAAGAAGAGCGGTGAATGTAAGCAACAGTTGACAACAATCTGAAGTTGCAGAGACAGTGTACTCTAAGAAAATTAGCAAATTAGACTAGAATAAATCATCTGCGAGTAAATTACCTCCTCGCGTAAACTTGGAAAATGATTATAGATGAAGCGATAGCGCAGTTCTTTATCCTGAAAAATAGGGGATGGTTTGTCAATCACAGATAAAAATCATTAATGGCGAGATTTTACTGTTGAGTCAGATAAATTGGTTGGTAAACTTGGCAAAGCAAAAGGAAGTGCTATAAATTCACACAAACAGTTATTTGTCTTCTTTAACCATTTACATCACATATAAGGTTATGAGTAACAATCTCTGGATTACTTTTGGAAAAAGACCAAAAAGAAATAAGAACAGACGTTAAACTTTTAAACTGTTTGCCTATAGAAGCCATGAAATTCGCCTAGGAAAAGCTGAATAGTTGAATAATAATCTAGAATTGCTATTTTAGTGGTGTCTTATAATCCCAGAAAAGACAGAAAAAACAGGAATATACGATCAAAGATAGAGAGAGATATACCTGGTGACCTATGACTACTGGTGCATTTTGTAAGATAAAATGTAAGAAATTATCTGCTCTCTTCAAAACCTGAGATAATTCCTCCACTGGAGAGGATTGCCTTTCAAGGTTTTCAATACTTTCCAGCAATTTATCCCTTAACACACGCTCTCGTTGAAGACTTGCCTCTAATAGTTTCTCTAAATGCATAGCACGCTGCTTCCAGTAAATTATACTGTCATATTCTGCATCTATTGGTATTATTTCGTCTTGGAAGATAACAAGATTCTTTCTCCGAGGTGCATCTTGATAGAAGTATCTTAGATTTTCATCCAAAATAGAAATTGGATGGTTATCACCCCCATATCCATCTTGTTCAAAACGATGTTCTTCCAGTATCTCCAGTTTCTTGAGTTCAACTGCTTGCTGCTGTTGGCAAAGGTTGTCGAGCTCTTCTCTGAGAAGTCGTACGGCATTGGCCTGTTTATATTCCCAATTCTTAACCAAGTAGGCCAACTGCGAGGAACCTTGCTCACTGTAATTCGTAAGGTCTAAAAGACGCTTAAAATCAACTATTGTAGGTTCCTCATTTATTGTAACCTCAGCCAACATATCCTGGTCTGCTCCTGGCTTTTCAACATTGAACTGCCTCCCAGCTTCATTTATATTTTCAGGCCACATTGACGAGAGGACAATTTCCGTATCTTCTGATTGATTGGACTCCATCTCACAACCCATGCCTTGTCCGGTTTATATAGTTATATCACGGGAATCTTCTTTAAAATTGTACTCTAAGTTTAATGAAGATCAAATTGCCATCAAACATGATTCCAATTCACGAAAGATTGAAGCCTGCACAGAAGATAATATTGGATTAAATGCCAATTGAATTTCATGGAGGTTCTTTCTGAATTTATCATATAAATTGAAATTTTATAAGAGCTTGCCTGTGTCCAAAGTGCAATAAAATATGAAAAATATAACCTCAGTCTACAGCTCAAAGTTTTATTGCACAACAGCGAGGTTTCAAAATCAAAGTGTGAGAAAGCTTCACATGAGGTTACTACAACATAAATAATTATTGGAAGTGTCAACACAACGAAAATTTCCGTGAGAAAGAAAACACAAACTATTTGACAAGAATTCTTTCTCAATGCGAGATGATTTGAAAGGTAATAAGTTTATTCAATTATCAGCACCAAAAGAGTTAAGCACATAACCAAGAAATAAGCTAAAATTTATAATGGGAGGAATAGTGTTTTTTTGAAAAATGGATGGTTGTAAAAGAATGAAAAGTTCTTGATTTACGTGTAATATTATTTTATTGAAGATTGTGTGGTTGAAAATAGGATATAGAAAAAATTAAATTAAATTGATGAGTTTTAATGGAGACCAAACAAAGGGGTGAAATTTTATTTCTAACATAAAGTAAACAATTTATTCCCTTCTTGCAGAATCTGATGCCAGGAAATGAAAATAATAAGATGGAAAATTTGATCCAGTTTATCCCTGCTCAATTCATAGCAGTGACAAGCCTGCACTAAAAATTCAGCATAACTGATTGTCGATTGAATTTAGTGGCTCTAAATTCTAACAGCACAAAGAATATCAGGAAAACAAACATCAAAATCTGTCAATACTGTTTCATGAACAGGAAAGTATAAGTCATGAAGAAATAATCATATTTTAGCCAATTAACGTCAAAGAATAATTCAATAGAAATCAGAATTTCATGAAACAACATTCAACCAGCAGTTCAACTTATACATTACCAATGATGCAAAGGATCCATTCTCCTGTCAAACTTAAGATAAAATTACAAAAGCCCATATCAGAAAATCAAATAAAGAGCCAAAAAAAAAAAAAAGGACCTTTATCAGTGTTTCGAGAAGAACAGAAGGTTATGTTCTATCAGAACACAACACTTTACAGTAGATATGAAAGAATCTATTTGAAGTTCTTGGTCAAATAAAAAAATAATAGCCAAGTATTTGAAGCACGTAAAAAAATGTAGAGAAATAGAAGAGGATTGCATGTGCTAAAGAAAATGTGTAGGAAATGCAAGAAGACATGTGCGCTTAGGTGAAAAATATTGCAGAAAACGCTCGAAAATAGACCTCTTTAATACTATTATTCCCAATTCACAACTCTCTCTCCCCCTCCTTCACAGTTTGTTTTTCTAATTGGATTCATGGCATGTTTTCAGCTTGGCTCTCCGATTACACTTCAAGAGTCCGACCGCCCTTAATGATGTTATATAGAGAGAGAGTCAACACATCTATGCTGAAACAGTAAGATATATATATAGAGAGAGAGAGGCGGG